GTTAAGATATTTTAGTTTAAATTTTTAAAAAAAGTCACTAAAAACTTTTTACTCCTTTTCTACTGACAAGCTCCCATATTACTAATAATTATCTATTACCTTTAACCAATTAAAATATAGAATTTGATTAATTCTGAATCGAATCAGTCCGAAAATCAAAACAAGTAATTAAACTCAATTATAAAATGAGATATATGCAAAAAAAAGCTGTTTTAATACGTAGATAACACTCTATATCTGATATATTAGGTTTTATAATAAAATATAATTAGTAAAATTTTTATTATTAAAAACTACTATTATAAGAATACTTATTATTAGAGTTGTTAATAAAGTAGCATACTTCAGAGTAGCTTCGAAGTGAACCCAACCCAAGTTGGATTGGGTTAAAGTTATAACTAAAAATCTGAAGTGAAACCGGAGTGAACCGGAGCAACTACTAAGCAAGTCTGAAGTAGCTCCGAAGTAAGCCCAACACAAGTTGAAGTGGGTTGAGGACTAGTTCAACCCAACTCAACTCATTAACAACCCTACTTATTATACTATAATTAAAAAATAACTTTTATTATAATCTTAAATTAATAAAACCTAAGACTATCTTAATATTAATAAAAAAATTTTGAATAACGGACTTTTTATTTGCAAGATTAACTTAATGTTTTCTTTTAATTAAGAAAAAATAAGATTGCTAAAGTTTAAAAAATACTTAACACCAATATATTTTTATTTATTATAAATCTAATTACACATTTCGAGAATTCTATTTTAGAGTTTATAATAAATAAAAATAACGTATTATATACATGTTAGTGATGTATAAATGTCTACATAGTATTTGTAATCATTTTTAGTTGCTTCCTAAGTTCGATAATTTCTGTATTCGCAGTTTCGATATAATTCTACATAATAGACTTGGTAACTAGACAAAATAACAGAAATTTTTAGTGATTTGTCGGTCTAAGTTTATAGTTATCGATTCAAGAAGGTTCTGAATAGATCAGAGAACTCTGCCGGAAATTTCCGGCATATACAATGAGATCCAAATACTGCTGTTATGTATCTGCGGATATAATAATACATTGATCAGGCGGCTGATCAACTATATTTGATCACTCAGATATCAATTCAATTCATCCCTTTCCTGTAATAAATACATTTCTCCCAACAAAATAAACATCAAATTTATATTTTCCCATAGCAACTTTTTCAAAGTCGAGTATTTCATAATTTTTTTCCTGCTGTTTATAAAGATTAAAAATATCAGGAACTATGACTACTGAAGTTTCTGAAGACAAGAAGACAACCCCACGTAAGAGAAAAACAGAAGAGACTGTTGAGCGTAAAACAAATCCTAGACGTGCCGCGAAAACTAAGGCAGAAGAAGCAAAAGCTGCTGCAACGACTTCGGCGAGTACCTCGTCAACTACCAAGACTAAATCTACTAAAAAAACTAAGACTGAGGTTAGTTTTACTTAACTTTTTGCGAAAACGCGTTCTATATGTTTTATATTGGGGGAATATAAATAATGCATATATGATTATCAAAAGTTTATATTTGTATTGATTTATTTTTAATTTAATACCTTTGTATAGAAGGGTGAAGGGCCAAGTCTTCCTCCTCTTAAAGCGTTTTTAGCAAACGCTAAAGAACTTAAAGTGGAAATTACTCAATCCTTCGGAAAAGAGGAAAATCCAAATGCTGACAGTAAAGTTAAAGAAGGTGAAGAAGAAAAGGAGCCCGCAAACCCTGAAGCCCCAAAGAATGGAGATAGTTCATCTAGTGAGCCTTTGTATACTTTGATGGCTAAACCTCAGAAGCATAATACTGGTAATTATGGTTGGACGGCAAGCATCCCCAAAGGAAAGATCAAGGTTGATATTGACGGTAGCGAAGTAGAATTGCCGGTCACAATCAATTTCAACGTGACTGTTCAGGGATCAAAGAAATAATAGGTTAGGATCGATGTTGAAAATTTGATGTTATTAATGTTCTCAGAGAACATAAAGTTATTTTTGAGAACGTTGAAAACATAAAATGTTCTCTTATTTGAGAACGTACTAGTGAGATCTAATGTTCTCTATAAAAATATATCACCTAGGCTTTGTATTCTTGTTTTAAATAAAGAAATCTACATTATCTTGATATTAAGTAAAATTTCTATCAGCACTTGTAGAGATTAGCTATTGTAAATGATGATACCAGGATGGGGCAGATGAAGTAAAATCATGAACCCGGATTTTTATTTTATTTTATCAATTGACCAATATATGCTTGTTAGTGTTTGTTTTTATTATTTTTGTTATTTTATTTTTGAATTTTATTTTATTTTACTTTATTTTAATCGAACCTACGCTAAGATAGTCAACTAGCATGTCAATGGTTTATATCGGATGGAATAAATTTTGTATTTATTATGGAGACGACTTTTGAACATGTACAAAGATTGTGAACATTTTGACTTTAATAAAAGCATAATCTTCTAAACAACATGCTGCTTAGATTCAAATCTCCCTCTTTGTAAAGATACAATAATACAAATGATAGTAATGTAAAATGGGTATTGTTTCTTGAAAATTTTACGGATACATTGAATCATGTATTATGAAGCATTCATTGTAATTGGCTAATTTTTGTAGATCATATCGTGATATTGCAAGACAAATATTTTATATGAATCGATATAATTAATAAAAATACATATTTATTAATGCCGTATAAATATAAATTAGCTTTAATAGACGTATTATTACGAAATTTAACAACTCAAAGTCTAAAACATCATCCCAACATAAACAAAATCCAAGATCTTATTAAAAAAAATACTATTACACAAATTAGAAAAACAAATAAAAAAATAAGAACCATTTATTTTAAGAGATAATAAAAACCACCTAAATAATTTTTTAATTGTACATAATAATAGTTAATTAATGCCAAACGAATTTAGTCATAATTCTAAATTAATAAATTAATAATCATAGATGTAAACTACACATTAATAATCTTAGATGTAACGCTATATTTTAACCTCTCGCTTGCAAGCTCATGCTTTCATTGCTTATGTCATTAATCTTTTTACTTGTAGTACGTGTCTGTCTAGAAAAATAAATTAGTTATAAATAAAAATAGATTAGCGTTGAAAATCTTTTGAAATGACTATTATATTTACGAGTTTAATACACTATAGACTATATTGGTTAAATTTAAACGCCTAAACATACCTCTCATCTAACTTCCGAATTACCTCGTCATTTACCGAATTACTTTGGTATGTTGTAGAGCCGAAGGTGTAGTTTCTAAATTTTTATATCGTAACTTTCCGGAATTCGTTCTCGTGGCCCTGAATTCATTTTTGTGCACTCTTGTGACAGCAAATCGTTACTTTAATAAGACTTTATTATGATATGATGATCTTCAAAGAACACTGTTATTGATGTAAACCTTTCCTGAATGTATTATTCTCGAGTTAAATTTGTTGAAAGATCAACTTCCACTAACAATATACATATCCTAAAACTATTTTCTCATTAGCCGTTTCTATGAATCTTATGTTGAATCGAATTTAACATTCTTTTAACTAAATTCATCTTGATTAGTTGAAATTTACATTTGAATATTAGTACACCCCCAAACTATTTTCAATAAATCTTGTGCTTTATTTCCTTTTATTAGTTAATCATGATTAATAAGTTCTTAGTAATTTGGGTTACGTACGTGCCTAATAAATCCGCAATCATTACGTGTAATTATTTCATCGATAACGACAGTAATGATGCCTATTATATTAATGATAAGGCTGGATGAGTTGATTTGAGATGGCGAATATTCTAAATGGCTTGCTGAGATATTACTGAGAGTTTTTTTGCATTAAACAAGCATCAATTAATGATCGATTCAATTTGAATCTTCGAAATAGTAAAGTAAAAATTTCACGGATAGAAAATACATCAGCTAAGCCACCTGGACAAGCCACGACCCTGCCGCATGACGTTATGTGTGACTATTCACATTAATTAGATTTATTCCAAGAAAAAAAAAAAATTCTAATCTAAAGCAGTATTGAAATCTATGATCAGTTAGATAACCCAGCACCCATTACTTTGGGGTACTATTAGTCCAAGACTAGATTTGAACATGAAAGTTCTAATGATGTGTTAAATGCAGGGGGACGACTATAACCTTAAAATTTATAAAGTCACGAGATTTTTCGGTCACAATATATATAGCGATAGGTTATTCCGTTTTCTTTTTAACTGCCGACTTGCCTCTAGCAGATGGAAAATAACTTCTAGTAAGTGAGAAATTACTTATACTACGTTTTGCTGATCATACAGTATTATTACGAATAGAGAATATTGGTGAACGTTTGATTAGTAAAATATGATCCATTTTAGAAATTCCACTTGCGATATTATCTTCATATCAGATAATTTACCTTTTTTATGTTTTTTTTTTTAAATATTTCATTATTAATAACAAAATATACTTTACCAAATTCTTGAAAGTTATGCCGTAAAAGCTAAGAATTTTTATAAAATAGCGACCGACATCTATATATTTATATTAAGAATTTCAAATTCTTGTATATTTACAGTTGATCTATCAAGATTGCAATGTACAAAAAAAAAAAAAAATTATTAAGTCAAACCAATTATTATTCATTATTGGAATGTTCATTTTGTGTTGTATTATAAGAATAAGGTTATAAAGTTCCATAACAAAATTGTTCAAGACAACCATCTATATATTAAATAATAAATACTTTAGGAAAAAAGACTAATTTCCAAGAAAAAAAAAATTGTCTTTGTAATATAGATAAAAAAAAACCAAGCTCGTTCTCATCTAGGGTTTCTACATTATTTAGATAACCATCCGACCAAATGGAAAGAAGTAAAACAAAAGATGTATATATAAGTTTAAAAAAATTTTCTGTACTAAAAAAATATATTAGATGTACTGTATAATTCCTAATTTCGCTCCATTACTTTTATTATATTCAACCTTTTCAAGCTCATAAACTCTGAAGGATTACCCACCCGAACACATTTCCTTATCAAAGATTTTGGCTCAAATAACAACCACCTTACCAGTCAGGTGTCATTAGAGCTTTACAAAGCATTCTTTCTTGTCAAATCGTCAAATCTTTTAAATGTATAACCGACGAAAGCTAAATCCTTTTGATTAAATTCGCCAGTAGTACTTGATACACGCTCTGTATGAATAATTGAACAATGCATAAACAAATTCCTAGAATAATAATATAAATAACCAAATATTATAATTGATATTATAACTTACCAGTTGTCTGAGGTGTGTCAGGAATCTTTTCCAGATCTTCTGTAGGAAAGTAGCTAGTATCAGTGATTGACCTCAGATTAGGAACAAATGGTGCTTCAATGTTACGAATAGTCTCCCAATCTACTCCAGAAAAGAATGGATGTAATTTAATTTCTTCGGCACCACGTTGACCTAGACGTTGTTCAGGTGCACAAATAAGACTAACATAATAGAATAATGTTATAAATTTATTTAAACAACTAAAAAATAATAATTTTTCTCATGAATGTAAAGGACGCACCGCCGAATTAAATCCTCAGCCTCAGCGCTCAAATGAACATCATCAGGGAAATACAATTGATCCCGCCAGTTGATAATTTTCCGATAAGTTTCATGTGCGCTTTCACTACAGAACGGAGGATAACCAACTAGGCATTCAAACATAATAGCACCGAGTGACCACCAATCACATTCTTGGCCGTAACCCTGCTGTAGGAAAATCTCAGGTGCAATATAGTCAGGGGTACCTACAGTAGAATAGGCCTAAAGAATCGATTTATTCAGACTTTAATATATATATATATATATAAATAAAAATAAATAAAAAACCCGAATTCGATGTGATAGAATGAATAAATAAACAATACCAAAGCTCTTCGATTCTTTTTCCATGTGGCGATTCTGTCCTTACTTGACAATGTTAAATTAATATTAGCTTCACTGCCTAATTGTCTGTGACCAGCACCACCACTATTAAGTGTTCCATCCAAAAGTCGTTGATAATATGCAGAATCGTGCGTTCGGTGAAAGCCGGTAGAAAGACCAAAGTCTGATAATTTGATATGACCATCTTTATCAATCAAAATATTATCAGGTTTAATATCTCTGAATATGAGTAAAAAGAATATTTATATGGATTCGATGTAAAAAAAAAACAAACAAACAAAATGCAATTATAAAAAAAAAAAAAAAATCACCGATGAATGAAATTTAATTTATGAATTGCCTCAATTGCCAAGACGCATTCAGCAATATAAAACCTTGTTACATCTTCCGAAAAAGTGTCGTACTTAATCAACATGGTCATCAAATCACC